ATTAGGCAGCCAGCAAGGCTCAACTTAAACGGGGAGTTTTCCATGTTCTTTGGAATCGTGGCTTTCTGTCTTCTATGTGTATTGGCAGTTTGTTCTCTTCCAAGCGTCATCAACACAATGAGCTGGAGGGAGTGGAATTTTGCTCAGTCTGGTATTGGTCATGTGATGATTGTCTGCGCCTTTTGTCACATGTTGACGATGGGAACGTACTCGATGATACGAAGAAAGTGGACATTAAGCTCCAATTATCGCCTGCCATCTGTTTTCTACATTGAAATTGCTATGGGCTTTTTGGTCATCTTCCTCCGTCTCCTTCTCTATACGCCTTGCTTGTATATCCCTCTGAGAAAGATTCGACATGGTTGGGAGAGGTCTGCCAATGGAAACGTCAAACCAAAGGGCGGTGCAGAGTTAAGAAGCTATGAAAACTCTTATGTCTAAGCTGATTTTAATCAAATTTAAAAATTTGAGCTAGAAGTATAAGATTTCATTGTAAGCTTGACATCAGGTTTTCTCAAACTTGCCATGGAACTGGCCATATTTGTCCTCGTGGTGCATGATGGCCACTTTATGGAACTACTTAGTCGCATTAAAGCCAAGGACCTCCTATGGCCAGGGGTCTTTCATTGGTTACAAGTCATAGAATATAAACWACATTGTAGTATTGTAATGACAGTTAAATCATTTGAAAATATGTCAGTGTACCGGTACCAAAGTGAAAATGATAAGAAATTATCGTAATGAAAACAACAGCCCATTACTAGGAGAGGGAATAGTATCCTAATACAGGAGTGACCTGGCGTTTTCATAGACTTGTCTATGTTTAGACTTTTAGTCTTTGTCGTCTCTTTAGTAGTAGACTCTTTGTTATCACTTATTTCACGAAGATTTATAGAAAATAGACTTCTGAACCTTTTACGTCACTACTTGAGTTTCGATGCATTGTGGGATCAGTTTCTAGCGAAAACAAAAGATTTCTGCCATGTTCGGTCCCAAACATATCCTACAATGCAATGCGTATACGGTACATGACGTAAATGCTTCAGAGGTCTATTGGTCCATAAGCAACTGCCTTCATTAATGTCTTCTCATTCATGGCGGTTTGCACGAGATTCCCATTTTGAGCAACTGTCATGCTCTCTAAGTATTTCATGCCTAAGTAACTGGCTCATAGCCCAGGAATAATATTGTTAACTAACAGTCATCCTTTGTCTGATGACATTGAGATAAACCCCTAGTAACTTCACTCTCTCTTTTAAAATCGATTCTGGCAGTATGCCGATTAAGTAAACAGAATGTTATGATAGACTATTGATCCTTGTTTTAGATCGCTCCTATAATAAGTAGCTTGGCTTGCTTCCTTTGATTTTAAATTGAAATAAATAGTCTTAAGGTCGAGAATAGTATTAGTGCCATTGTTTTGTGTCAAGCACGATAACTTACAAACCCTTATATGAATTCTTGAGCAGTTGCAGGAATTTATATCCAGTTGTCCCGGCATAAACCTGTTTGCATTGAAGACCGTCCTTTGTACAGGTGTATAGCGACATGTACTGTAAAGGTACAAGAGGACTCCATGAAACAACTCTCCATGCTCTCTCATAGCAGTTTCTCTGTGTAAACAGTATTGAGTGACATAGATATATATAAACAGCAAAAAGTTTGTCTGTTGACGATTAACCCTACTGAAATCTTAGCTTTTGTATTTTGTAGAGTAAACATAAGTGCCCCTAATGACGTCAACGTCCAGAAATCAATATGAAGGAAGTATAAAAGGTCACACTGTTTTGATTTATTGCCAGGACGTTGTTTTGCTGTTCATTTGCAAGGCTCAGTTCCTAGATCAGTCGGCAAATTCAGAGTTAATTTTAACTACCAGGTACGTAACAAACTAAAGGTTTTGTGGGGTAAGGGAATTTATACCTCCTTTTTACTGATTAATATTGGTTGTGCATGTTAATTTGCACGTTTAGTGGAAACCACGACGGCGGAACAGGATAACAGTGTATATATATATCCTGCATACGAATAGACGATTTGCGAATTTCGCCTTAGTAGTGGCACACAAAAGAATTAAAACGAGGCGCCATGCATAAAACTATTGTATTTTCACGAATGACTGAGATTTATGCACGGCGCCTCGTCTTGATTCTTTTGTGTGCGACTACTGAGGCAAAACTCGCAAGTCGGCTATTAGGAATGCTGTCTTAAGAAATCATTGTGGACGAGAAAAATTCCTAGAGAACTGACGAAATTGGACGAGGACGCTAGGCCTAGCCCAATTTGACAGTAAAAGGACCTTTTCGAGTCTAATTATTTCTTAATTGCACAGTATGGCGTACTCTTAAATATTAATTATATATCAACACATTATTCCTGAGTAATAATAATTGGACAAATACCTATTTAAGATTAATAAGTGTGGATATATAATTATCAATCAAACATTATAAACAGCTGCCTCTCATGGATAACTTATTTTTAAGACTTTAGACGTTTCGGTAAACACATTGACCTTAATCAGTGTGATAAGCAACTACGTAATTTTCTTGTACAAGTAGCTAGAATAACAATTTATTGGGCACCATTAATTTTGTTGTTTCAGTTCCAGTTGAACTTTGTTGTTTCCGTAGTCAAGCATTATGTCCATAAACGAACAACCTATTGTCATCGTTGGCACAGGAGATTTTGGAAGGGCTTTGGCGACAAGGCTCCATCGCTTTGGATTCAAAGTTGTACTTGGCTCGAGAAATCCAAGCACCGTTGAAGCCAAAGTTATCCCTCAAAATGTCGAAGTGCTCGAGAACAAAGAAGCCCTACAACGTGGAAATATCATTATCTTTGCCGTCCATCGCCAATCTTACGAAGCGCTTGCGAATGAATACCGAGACATGCTAAAGGAGAAGATCGTCGTAGATGTAAACAATCCACAAACTTCCAAGAAAGGAGCTCAGTCAAGTGGCGAGTATTTGGGCAGTCTGCTACCTGAAAGTAAAGTTGTCAAAGCGTTTAACGTAATCTCAGCCTGGGCACTTGAATCTGATTCGTTTGGTGGGAGTAAGCAGGTACTGCTCGACCATTTTATCATGTGTTGTGATAACTAGTATTTACTAATACATTCATATTGCCAATGCCATCACCACTGCTTAACGCTTCCATTGCTATTAATATATGCGACTGATGTACTTACCGCTTGCTTCAACATAATTACTTCTGAAAACACATTCATCATGCGTCCTGTTCCTCACCACGATTGGAAGTCTATTAACACTGTTATGACCATCATCCATCTTAATTCATTATCATCCATACCATTGCCCGGATACTAATTTATGATTATGTTCTTTAATATATGAAACAGGAATGAAGCTATTACAACGATAAAGAGAACAGAATACTTAAAAATGAGACCGCGAGGTCGAGTGGTCTACGAGTTGATATCCGTGAGCCATACTCGGCCGTAGTTCTCATCACGAGTAGTCTGATTGTTTTAGTATCCACAAACTATAGGACAAATTTGAAAAAAAGAGGCGATAAAAGCACTTTTTTCGACTTTTGTTGTTTCTTTCGATTGAACCATGGTATAAAATTTAAGTAACATAGTTCAGTAGCCAATCAGAATGCTGGATTTGCAACATCTTTTGGATACTAATTCCAGTAAGACACTGATCCCGGTTATATCAATATCAATTTACTAGGTCCCTCTGTGCTCGAACAACGCTGAAGCACGAAGGATAATATTCCAGTTGGTTCGTGATATCGGTTTTGAGCCTATTGACCGAGGAAGCCTGAAAACAGCCGAGGAGCTCGAGTCCATTCCATTCCGTTTCTTCCCATCTTGGATTAGCCCTGTGGCGTTTTCTTTCATCTTGTTACTGGTTATCACGTTGTACGAATTTCTGCGCAGATACGTCAATAATGGAAGTGTAAATATCAGGTAGCAAAAATTAAAGGGACATGGTCCACTAGCATGCAATGCGGTCATGTTTTAGATTTTTCATATATGGAAAATGAGGTGACTTCGAATATCCATTTGCAATCCGTTTCCATCCATCGGTTTAACGGTCGAATCTTAAAGCATCTCCATTCATATAGGATAAAGGAAATTAAAAGAGTAAGTTTTTGCTTATATTACGATGTATTTCTATCTTCAAACATAAACAAAAGCTCGAAAGGGATGCTGGTGGACCATGTCCCTTTAAATAAGATGATATTTAAAACAATAATGTCAGCGAAAAATAAATGATCAAATCATATCTATAAAAAACTACAAAACTCTTGCTTAGCCTCCTTTGCAGACGTTATTTGGCATCGGTTGACCGAAACTAATAATGTCTGCAAAATAAAAGGCAAATTTCTTTACATGTATAAGACAATTTTTTTTAATTTATATTAGATGGGAAAATTTTCCTGTCAGCAAACTCAACATTTACTTTGGATTCAATGCAATTGGTCTCCTCTACCTTGCTTACCTTCCTGGATCATTGGCGGGAATCCTTCAGCTCATCAATGGTACCAAGAGAAAACGGTTCCCAAACTGGCTAGATCAGTGGATGAAGGCTCGTAAGCAGCTTGGCCTGATGGGGTTCTTCTTTGCTCTTCTCCACGCCATCATGGCCGTCCTTATCATGAATTCAGCGTTTGCAGGAAGTTTCTATGAGAATTATAAGGTGCAAGTGCAAAACATAACCATTAAGCAACCAGCAAAGCTCAGCTTAAACGGGGAGTTGTCCATGTTCTTTGGAATCGTGGCTTTCTGTCTTCTGTGCCTATTGGCAGTTTGTTCTCTTCCAAGCGTCATCAACACAATGAGCTGGAGGGAGTGGAATTTTGCTCAGTCTGGTATTGGTCATGTGATGATTGTCTGCGCCTTTTGTCACATGTTGACAATGGGGACGTTCTCCATGGTGCGAAGAAACTGGAAGTTCAGCTCCAATTATCGCCTGCCATCTGTTTTTTACATTGAAATCGGCATGGGTTTTTTCGTCATCTTCCTCCGTCTTCTTCTCTATGTCCCTTGCTTGTATATCCCTCTGCAAAAGATTCGACATGGTTGGGAGAGGTCTGCCAATGGAAATGTCAAACCAAAGGGCGGTGCAGAGTTAAGAAACTATGAGAACACTTCGGTCTAAAATTTTGATAATCATAAGTTTTTCATTGCTTGGTCGACATCAGGTTTACTCAAACTTGCCTTTAATACTGGCCAAATTTTCCCTAGTGGTGCATGATGGGCACTTTACAGAACTGTATAGAAAATAAGACGCATTGAACTGAGCCAAGAACGTCTTCCATGGTCGGTGGCCATCACCAGGTTTAAAGAAAAATATAGAACATAAAGAGCACTTTATAATTGTAATGACAGAGAAATTCTTGGTTGTGGCCTATATTAAAAAAATATCAGTTTATTGTACCAAGTAAAAATGACAAGAAGTAATAAATATACGGTGTTTTAGTATTTCACGGACTTAGGGCTGTTTTCATATAGCCTTGAAAAAAACATATACTAGTAGAAACTGTGAGAAACGCTAAATCAGTTAATTGATAAATCTGGTTTTTATTAAATCAATAATATGCTAGAAATCCAAACTGCATTAATAACAGATAAGTCGAGTTAACAGACAAAATGTTCTTTATGTATGACGGACTCCCTGTATAACCCTGGAGACTGGTACTTTTCGCGTCACGCGCGCGCGAGCTATTGTAGCTTCAACATGGCGGAACTGTCAGTACTTCCCCGTTTTTTCTTCAGTGTTTTTCTGTTTTTGCACCTGGCTTTAGCAAAAAAATGCATAAAGCTGGATACTTGCAGCTGTGTAATGGACGATGGATCGGGTATTGTTACCTTACACGAGCTGGATAACAAAAGTGGCGTCCCGTAAGTATTTTTAAAAAGTGTTGTGACTGCAGACTGAAAGCGAGCGAATTTTATTAAGAATTTAAAAAATTCTTTTAACCCAAAGATGCTCAAGATCTTTTTCTAATTTCACAATTGCAGAAAATCAGAATTCACAAAAATCCCTCAGTCTGGCTCTGGTTCATTCGTATTTTCATGGAATCCTTGTACAACAATAAGTAGTATAGCTGCATGCAAAGATAGCAATGTAAGTTCTTTATGTGAATGCAAAGGAGACTTAATGATATTTTAATATAATGTTCTGATCTTTCAACCTCTTTCTGAAAACTTGTGTGCTTCCTCCGACGCGTCCGTGCCATAATCTGTACCATTGCACTAATTCATATGAAATCTGCTCTATATTATTGTTATTACACATGTTTTCTTGTCTCGTTATTAAGTCATGTCAAGTTAATATTGATGGGGAGTATGGTAATTATCCTGCTGGAAGTTCTAATACCACTTTCACTATGGATTCTGATGGAAATCCTGTAATAACATATGGAGGGATGATAACAGGGGGTCATTCAAGGTAAAACAAAGGTTTTGTTATTAGATAGTTTTGTATTATTATTCTATGATATATAAATATTATGATTGATACTTCAGCCGGGCCTCAGGGTCACTTTAGTAATATATAATGGGTGGCACGGGTGGACTAGTGGTTAAGCTACTGGCCTCTCACCGCTGTGGTCCGGGTTCGATTCCCGGACACGGACCATATGTGASTTTGAGTTTGTTTGATGWGTTGTTCTCTCCCTTRCCAYGAGGGTTTTTCTCCAGGTCCTCCGGTTTTCCTCCCTCAGCAAAAATCAACATGTGAGGAGTGTTGTGTGCTAAAATACTTAATGTAGAGGTAGTGAGTGTRASAGTACAGGGTCCGCAGTAATTGGCTCACGCTGTTGCGGTGTCCCTGCCCATACTAGGGAAAAGCTAATAAATTAAAAAAATTAAAATATATCAGCTTAAGTAACAATGCGCGTAAGAACTGTAGAACTCTCCACTTTTCTGCGGCATTGCAACTTCCCCACATACAAATGTCTTGGTTTTCACACTGATTATATATCAACCTATGGGTAACACATTTTTGAAATAAAATGTGGATAAACTCTATTTGAAACAGAGTTTCTTTTGTATTAAAACCTCTTATCCAATCATAAGCACTCAAAACAATAGCTAAAAGAAGCTTCTAATTTGCTATGTTCCCCACATAGAATTGCCTTAATATTGTAGCTAAAGAAAGCTTTCATGAAGTCGGAATAAGATATTTAAATAAAATATTAGAAAATGTGCTAACTTGTGAAATTAAAGCAGATTTTCTTGTTTGAACCAATGGGATGGATGGATTATACAATACACAATTAGCACCTTCTTGCATTCCTTTGCTGTTTGCTTCTTTAGTTCTTACTCGGGCCATTACTTTTAAATTACAGCTGCCTTATTATCAATTTGTCAACTCAATGTGCATATAATGTTCATGGAGTACTTTGCTGTTAATGTCTGTTTTAGAAATAACTTTCTGAGGAATTAACTTATGCCTGTCTTCAAAAAGCAGACTGAAAACACAAGAAGAAAAACAACATGGCTCGGTCTACACTTTCCTCAATCCCATGCTCTGCAAATGTTATCATAGAAAATGAAAATTTAAGTCAACTATTTCAAATCAAACTGTAACTACACTGACTGATTTATTGTGCAGATCTTCAATAATCACACTCGCATGTGACAAGACACAAAAAGTTGGAGATTTTGGCCAAGGTTTTAATGAAAATAACCCAGACAAAAGCACTAGTCAATATGTAAGTATAGTTAACTTAAGACAAATAAGACAATTAATTCTTATCCAACTGAAATTTCTTCAGAGAAAATCAATGAACTGAAATTGGATGACAAATCAAGGGAAATAAATTGTTCCACGTTTTTTTGGTAAACCACTATACTATATACACCTACTTGCGAAAACGTTGTCATAAATAAATAGGACATTTGTATTTTAGTAAAAAGGAATAAATTAAAAAGACAAAAGAAGATCACTGAGACTGAAAGCTTTCTTTTGTTTTGTTATAATTTATTCCTTTTTACTAAATTCAAATGTTCTATTTTCTATGACAACGTTTCTGCAAGTAGGTGTATATCAATCTTTTATTTTCAGACAGCTACATTGAAATCAAGGTGTGCTTGTCCTGGTGAATGCTCCTTCTGCAAGGAGTGATCTCAATGGTTCTTCTTTGCTTGCGCTATAGGTGCCAGCCCTTATGACGAATACAGCATTGCCCTAAATTTTTATATTTTTATGTCAAGAAATAATTAAAAGTGCTTTTTTATAAATTTAATACCATGAGCAAAGCTCAGCTTAATAAATGTTAAATATTTAATATTATAAAATACAGTCAAAGACATGCATGGGTGTTTTAACACATGTTAAAAAAAAGAAAACATATTATATATTAGCATAATATAATCTTGTAGACTAATATTGTGGATCAAAAAATAGACAAAAAACAATCAAAGAGAAAAAGACCTGATGTTATAATTATAGAATATTTCACAGGTTTTCTTATCTAGAAATGTAATTTAGAGACATTATGAAACGTTTAAATATTGTAAATCTGCTTTCGTTAGTTTTTTTATTAATAAAAGGACAATTGCATCTAGTAGTTTCTTATTTTAGGAGGAAACAACAACAACGAAAGTTTTATTATTTTCGTGCGTTTTAGACCTTAATCTGTAAAAGTCCCATGAACATTCTACCAAAAACCTATCCCAATGTATTCTTCCGGACTCCCTGTGTAGCTTTTTGGCATAGGAGACTGGTACCTTGTAGGGTCACGAGAGGGAACATGGCGGATATGTCAGTACTTCCTTTTTTCTTTATTATTTCTCTTTCTTTGCATCTAGCTATAGCAMAAAAATGCACAAAACTGGATACTTGTAGCTGTAAAATGGATGATGGATCGGGTATTGTTAGCTTACAAGATTTGGATGACAAAAGTGGCGTCCCGTAAGTATTTTACGTGACTGCAGGACAGAAGCAACAGAAATTTAAGAAGTTTCAGTTTAACTTTAATACATTCATTAAGAAAACGTTTTGTTACTACTATATTAATTACATTGTGAAAGAAAGATTGTAGAAAGTTTATATGAGAAATGCGTTTGATTGAATTTAGGTAACTTATATAAATTTTGAATGTTTCCTTCGCAATAAGCTTTAAGCTTATAGGGTAAGGTTATTTCGCGGGTTAAGAAAATCTACATTTATAAGTTAACTTAATAAACTTTTGGTTGTTAACATAATCATAATTGAGTTTTAAATTTCAAAATACTTACTGAATGACTTAAGCTACTGCTTTTTACCCCCAAGATGCTCAAAAATCTTTTCTCATTCCAACTTCCTATCTGACATTTTGCTAGCGGAAAATAACTATTTTATCATGTATCTATATTTTTATTGGTTTTACTTTTTGATGTTTTCCTTTTTTTTTGTGCAGAAAATCAGAATTCACAAAAATTCCTCAGTCTGGCTCTAGCTCATTTGCATTTTCATGGAATCCTTGTACAACAATAAGTAGTATAGCTGCGTGCAAAGATAGCAATGTAAGTTCTTTATGTGACCTCTTATGTCCTAGTCTTCTTCTCAGCCAGAAAGACCTGCAAAGGGGTAAAGGCTGCAAAGGAGACTAGTGTTGTGAACACTTAACATACTGATCTGTCAACCTCTCTATGACAAACTGCACAGTGACAATGTTAGGCTAATTTGATAAAATTATCCAAAATGCAAAAATAGCTGAACTAGGGTAATCATGTCGCATCCCCAGAAAAGTACCTCTCCTAGTTGTAATATAACTTAATGGTACTCATGGATGGTGGTATTTACGGGAGTAGGATTATAATGACTAAATACAAACACTAAAAGCATGAAAGAATACTGTATTGCTTAATGATGTTGATTTGAATTGCAATAGAAAAAGAGAGTGGAATACTCCAGTTTCAAATTCAAAGCGAATAACCGCTGTTTTACTTGACAGCAGATTCTATTACGCAAAGAACTTACCAAAGACAAAAGAAAGCACGAGGAAATGTTGTTAATACAATAGAGCGCTAAGAATCTACATTTTCTCCGAGTTGAGGCTAACCCTGCTCATACCTTAGGTCTTATGGGAATACAGGGATAATCTCAACTCGGGGAAAATGCAAATTTTCAAGTCTATTGTAATAACGACATTTTCTCGTGCGCTCTTTTGTGTTTATAAGGTCTTTGMGCAAGAGAATCTGTTGTCAAATAAAGCAGCGGTTATTCGCTATGAATTCGAAACTGGAGTATAGAGTGCTTTTAGTATGAGCATGAAAATACTATTTTTTTCTTTGTTCAACTAGCATTATTTTGCTCATATTTAGCAATAATGGTTTCATAGATTTACTGAAACCACTTTGATATCGTACTCCAGTCAGTTTAGTAAAGAGCTATAATGATTTAATAATATCCCATATTATGCTACCTTTCTGCAATATATATTGTCTTTGCACAACTCTGCATGCAATTCTGGCATTCATTGTTGATCTTAAGCTTGATTGAATGATTTTCAGATTGATTGAACACATTTTTGTCTATTTTTGAATATATTAATGAGCGATACTATTATATTTGTTACTATAAGTATATAGCAGATTTCGTATGAATATTCAAAAATAAACAAAAAAAATCAGTACTTTCATGCTGTGGCCATACTGTGTTGATTCTTGATTTCTTTTTGGAATCACTAGAAAGCACCTCAAAGCTATCATGATCATACCGTGTCAGTGCTGTAATCCATGCTATTATACAGTCATTACAAAATCCACTCAGATATCATTATTGTAAGTTATTAAATAAAATTACATGTACACATACTTTCTTGTCTTGTTAAGTCATGTCAAGTTGATATTGGTGGGTCCAAGTATGGTAATTATCCTGCTGGAAGTTCGGATACTAGTTTCACCATGGATTCAGGTGGAAATCCTGTAATAACATATAAAGCGATGATAACAGGGGGTCACTCAAGGTAAATGAATAGATTTATAATTAGATTATAATATTATATTATTATTTTTATTATTTATGATTAGATAATTTTATATTATTGCTACTTCAGACGACGGTCACTTTTAGTAATATCAGCTTAAATTACAGCCTCATTCACATTCTTGTCAATTTTTCAAATGTGCTTATAAAATCCAAGACAGCCTTGTTGCAGTTGGTCTTTCTTGGAATTTAAATAGGGACTGGTGACTCATAAAGCTACAATAAAACACACATAAAAAAAACGGAGTGTCGAAACATCAAATCTGAGGGTATAGCTGAACAAGCTCAGACTATTGAAATATGAATTTTCATGTGACAAAGTCTAATTTTGAAAATGTGACTGGTTAATTTTTGTTTTTGGTCCCAGTCCCTTTTTGGATTTTGGCGAGTGCAAWGGTCCTCTGTGCATTTTAACAAAGTGCATCATGGGATTGAGAAAAGTATCAAAATTACAAACAACTTTAAAAGCTCTTGGGAGTATGAAGTGAAACGTTTTTGGTCATAAGAGTGCTTTGCATTCCTAGTCTGTTTTAAAACTATCTTTCTGGAAAATAGTTTATGTTTGTTGTTTGACAAAAAAAAAACTAGCTTGAAACACAAAAAAGAGCAATTTGGCTCAGTTTCCACTGTATTCAATCCCAATAATGTTATATCACAGGAAAAGAAAATTATAGTCAGCAATTTCAAATCAAACTGTAACTACACTGATTTATTGTGCAGATCTTCAATAATCACACTCTCATGTGACAAGACACAAGCAGTAGGAGATTTTGGCCAAGGTTTTACTGAAAATAACCCAGACACAAGCACTAGTCAATATGTAAGTATAGTTAACTAAGACAAATGATGGCAGTAACTTTATGGTAATGTTATGTTTTATTCTCTACCATAACACAAGCTGATGTTGACCATAGCCCTTTAATGCAAAATATGATCATGACAGACATCTAATACCAAGCCAGGATTTCAATTTTTGTCATTAAAATTGTTACTTAAGTTGATAACATCACCAAGTTTTGTCCCGGAGTTTTTTGTTTCTATTTAGGTAAAACATATTATATTACTATGTTTAAACAATTGTGCAATAAGATAACTTAAGTAGGTGAAATAACATCAGGACGTTTGGGACATTAATCCTTTGTCTGAGACACCTGTAGTACCATTTTAATATAATTATAGACAAATTTTTCTCTTGTTCTCAGACAGCTACATTATCATCAAAGTGCGCTTGTGCTGGTGTATGTAAATATTCTCCAAGTTATACTCCTGAAGGTTCAACTGGACATTTAAGTGTTGGTAGCATCATACTTATTGTGTATGTATTAAACAGTGTCCTTCACAGTTCCCTGTGCCATCTTGAAAGGTATCCGYGCCTTTGCATCGAAGCAAGACAACCCTTGCCTATGCAATGATAGAATAATTGTCTGTAGGCGTGAAAAAAGGTTTTTATCATTTAGTGATTGCAAACTCAACAGTCATCATGCTTTGRTGAAAAGGCATGGCTAGCTTTCAAGATGGTGCAGGGGACCGTACAGAAGACAATTCATTCATGCTTCAAGTTCGATTCACTCTTAAAGAAGATGGTTAATCTAAAATATCCAATGTTAATTTGAACACTAGTAAGTTTGTA